AAAAAAAAAATCTTTTGGGGAGGAAATAAAGGCTAGAGATCAGTGATGGGAGGGAAATCTCACTGTATAGCCTTAGAATTTTAAACTAGGTTGAATGTAGCCTACTCAAATATGATTAAAATTTTATTTAACTAAACTAACTGAACAATGCCATAAATATTAACTTATGAAATATACTCAAAGTCACACAATTATTGATTTGATGACGATTTTTTATAATTAAACTTTTAAAAATAATCTTAATAGCTCTTTGGTTCTCATTATGATGGCATCTGCTCAACACTTCTATGGGTGAGAATTAGTAATCTTTAGTGACATCATCCTTTAAATGCTGCTGATCCAACATTGTATGCTCTCTGGCTATACCAAGGGTAGCTGAAAGAATATTTAATTTATACATCACCTAAGGACAAGATTTAATAGAGAATAGTTAGGTTCGCTAAGACTTTGGCAGAATTTTCTACAAACAGTATTTCACATGAGACAGTATTTCGTTCTTACTTTGTCAAATTTTCCAAGGCTGTTCTTTGTCCGGGGATCTCCCTCTTCGGAGCCAGTCATTGCTAATTGCTGCAAAAGGCGGCCAACCTGCAACCAAAGCAGTGGTAGGGAGACACAGGCTATAGACACCTACAAAGTCCTCTCTATGAGAGGACTTCCATTGTATACACTTCCATTGTATGCTAGAAATCTGTTTCGTAATAATATTCACACCACCTGACCAGACATACAAAACAGGGTTCCAAATGTGTATCTTGTCAACATCAGGTTTTACTATATTTAGAGTTATAGAGGAAAAATTGGAAATTTTGCTTTAATTTCTCTTACATCTATTATATTGACATTACGAAATAAAAATATACCACCTTTGTTTCTGATGTACTTTTCATGTGCTTAGAAATCTTAAAATTAATTTGTTAAAGATGACTCACTTAAACTATTCCAAGTTAATGTTAAGTACTTTTCCCTAAATACGAGGTCTGATCAAACAATACGGTGAATGGTTAAATAAAAAAAAATTATTATAGTAAAAGACACATTGCCAATAATCCCCGTCAAAATACTCTCCCTCGGGCCGGCCGAGTGGCGCGATGGTTAAGAACTCGCTTGGGACGCCAGAGGGCCCCGGTTCGGATCCCACATATGAGGGCCTGTGACACTGCCCTCCACAGCTAAGATGCTGAACAACAGCTCAACCTGGAGCTGGCTGCCGTGAGTCGTTGGCGACGGTGTGGG